AGAGCCACTCTCAGTCTGCTCTTAATGGAAGTAAAAGTAATTCCAGTTATTAGGCTAGTCTGTTTGAAAAAGAAGAACAAAAAATAATATATTTCATATGAATTTTTGGCTGGATATAGCCCAGTGGTTATTGTGCTCGAACTATAAATTTAGTAGTTCATGGTTCGTAATGCATTGCTCAAAAGAACTTGCTCTGCACTTTAAGGCAGTGTTAATGTTATATATATATGAGTAACGGTCAAATCCCACTCTTCATTCATTGCCAATGGGTGCTGTTGACTATCCATCTTCTTTCTTGTTTATCAGCTCAAAATTATAGATAGGCTCAGATAGGCCTTTGTGCAATTTGCATGAAAAATTAAATCCATATGCATTTTTTCTCAGTCACGTTATGTTTTTGAACTTAAATGTCATAAAACGAAGAACCAGTAGAGTTAATTATGATTGGTTTATATTTTTCATATGTATTCTCCATGCTTGTTTTCTTAGTCACGTAGTTTTTGTGTATTTAAAATAGAGAACAGCAAAAAGAGAAACAGATTGGTGTGTATCTTGTATTCACTAAACTTAAACGTTACTGTTTTGGTGGTATTAATCTAAACATGCCCAAAATTCTATATTTTTAAATATGGGCTAAATAAGAGTCTCATGAACTAGTTGGCAATGAGTTAGCAGAAACTAAAAAATGAGAAATTGTACACAAATGGACAAAATAATCAGTTATTCAAATTAAACCACATTTAAAAACCTCCTATATTTTGTTTGATAAACTTCCTGTAGTTTTTACCATGTTCAATAGCGTCATTGTAAATTTTATATATGTATATATATTTCTTATATAAATATATTTATACTTTTGTGTCTCATGTAATTTGACTTTTAAATATACTCTTGTTTGAGAATAGATTTTAATGTCAAAACAATGATCCGGCTGTAACTGATATGTAGTTTTATAATAATACATGCAGGTGGTTACAATCCTCTTGAGATTGTAAATGGAGAAATGCAACCAACAGCAACTGTTTTCCAATTGACAATACGTTCTAAAAGATGGAGAAGAAAGACAGATATGTTTCATGCAAGAGCATGTCATGCAGCCTTTGTGGTAGAGGGAAGGATCATTATTGTTGGCGGAAAATATAACAGTGGAGAGTACGTCTGTACTACAATAAAATGGCATTTATTGGTTAAAACAAATATAGTTTTTGCATTTCTTGTAAAGGACCAGAAACAAATATCACATCAGCACATAGTTACGACTTAGTTGATATTGTTGTATTAATAGTTAATGATTTATTTCATCAGATTATTAGCCATTTGCCATACCGTGCTTGTGAGATAAAACAAATAAATCGTTTTGAATATTTCATGGATTTGAGATGTAACTTCACAAGTAGCTATAATAAAGTAGTATTAGAGTGTTTAGTGCAAAAGTAAACACTGATGAAGTTAAACAAGTAAAGCTCAAATATGTTTACAAAATTATACAAATAAAATCTTTATATATATTAAAAACCGAAAACATACCTTTTCCCATTGTGTTCTTTTAGTGTAATGCCAGCTGTGAGCTTTTAGTACTAGTTTGCTAACTTCCAAAAATTGTTATCCATCTTCAGACCTGTAAATCATAATTTATGTCTACATTTCATAATACTTTCCACTGTAGAGGTATACGAACCCAATTTTGATCAGTGGACAATGGTCAAGCCAATGCCTGAACCGCTGATGGGTTGTGGTGCTACCTACCTAGAAGGTCTTGTTTATGTTGCTGGAGAAGTGACTAATTCAAAAACGAATAAGAATTTGTCGATAGATGTTGATCATGTATTGTGTTATGATGCTGTAGAAGATAGGTATGTTTATAACTTGTTTACTAGTCTAAATCTATGACATATGAGTTTAAACACATTTGTTAGAAACTATTGAAAACTTACAGAATATGGTGAATGTATGTTTACTTTATTTACATTTCATCTTAAACCATAGTTTTATTGTTTTACTTCGATGTTGATTAAGTGTCTATTTTTGATTTAAGATCTGACATTATCTATATTTGTCATAGCACTGGGTGTCTGTTATTTCATATACACTTAATTTACATTTAATGATTCATCTATCATAGCTGGTACAAAAAACCGCCATTACTACAGCGCCGTGCTTTCTGTGCCGCTATTACTGTGAAGAGAGAAGTATGGATCTGGGGAGGTTTATCAGGCCTTCAAGAATCCGGGCAGCTAGACAGTATTGATACCGTAGACGTTTACAGTCCAAGAAAGTGTCTCTGGGAAACTAAGTTGTCATTGTCAACACCTAAAGACGCTGTGGCAATAGCTAAAGCAGGTAGTGTTTCGGATTAATTCTAGACTATGTTAAAAAACAAAAGCAATAAAAATGCATTGTTAAAATTACATCAGAACTGTTTCTGTACCTTTGTTACAAACTATCTAATTCTACTTTTTACTATAAGGAAAACTAATAAAACGTAATTCATTTTTACATGCAATTTCACTTTTCTTATAAAACTTGTTTTAGTTGAAGAATAGAATTTACAGATGGTGAGTTTCAACTACTTCAACTTTTATGAAGATTAGCAAATTTCCTTTTTTCGCTTTTTTTTTTAGAACTAGGAAGCTATGTAACTGACATGAAAGTTATAATTGATCATTGGCTCTATTCTTCAATCTTTCAGGGTCCTATGTTTATGTCCTTGGCGGAATGAATAGCAAAGAAGAGGAAGCTTTGTCAGAGAATGATATTTACGACCGTGAAAGGAACTTGTTATTAGTTGGTTCTGCATTACCATTAGCCATAGCAGGGGCTGCTGCAGTTGGTGTACCAGTGAATTATTTTGCTAAAATTGGAAATAAATGGGTTAGGATACACTGGTTCTTATTCAATATTAACACTTGATTCCAAGTCTTAACTTAACAAAAATAACAGTACTACACAGCTTTTGATTAAACAGAGTACTGACACTTAAAATTGAATAAAAAAAAAGAATATGTGACAATTTATAGAGTGTCCTCTAATGTTGATACATAAGATGTGATATCTTATAGCTTATCAATGTTATGCCATCCAGACATAGGTTTTTATTGTGGCTAAGAAATCAAAATTCTTAATATCATGGCTATTATGCTGATTATAGTATTAAAAATAAAGCCTATACATATGACAAAACCAAAAAAGGGATTATTTTATCTTATTTTTCATATTTCATGGTATATGTTTAATAATCTAGGTAACGCAAGAACCGGACGACATAGTCAAGAACCAGGCAGCAGTAAAGATACAAGCCGTTTTTCGAGGGCACCATTCTAGAAGACAAGTAAATAGACAGAAATATGAAACAACTTATAGATATATACAAATACTTACATTAGATATGTGATATATTACATAGTGATGATGCTATAAACATGTATATGCTTACTGTATTTCACAACTAGAAAATGTTTCTCAATAACTAGGTCTATCTGTTTGTCTGCAGCTATAAGTAACATGTACATGTGGTTCATGCATACTCTCACAAAGCAGACTCTTGAACATTGCTAGGGATAAATCATGAGTAGTTATGGAGGCACACCGCTAGAGAACGCCATGCATGTGTCGGACTTTGGGAAGGGGGAAGTGATGCCATCAGAGACGATGATGTTATAATTCCATAATTTGTCACCAGAGAACGCGTTGCTAGGTCGCCATGACAGACCCCTATGACATCAGATATTGTCACCAGAGAAGACATTGTTAGGGAAACTTTGCAATGCCGCCATGACAGGCGGCCATGACGTCATATTTCCACAAGGGTTGAAATAATAGTTCGATACCAGACAGATTGCTATGACATAATAGTTGTATGGAAACAAAGACTGTCATGACTGTAATTAATTGATTTAAATCATTAATTAGAGTTATTAGGTTGATTTATTCTAGATCACTATGTCAGTGTGTGTATTCTTAACCCATTTTAGCATAAAAGTATAACCTATATACTTTTGTTGCTCTTTTATGGGATGTTGCCTGATTATAAAGGTAACCTTCCCTCTGACTTGTCTTCCAATTTTAAACTTAGATAATAAAAACAAACCTCTTTAATTAATGGAGCCTCTAAATTAGAAAACAACAAATATTTATTTTCAATTTTGTAGTTTATACATTTCATTATATTCTTTCAGCACATACCCTCTTAACAACAATATTATATTATACTATTATTGCTAAGCAACATGACATAAAAGTCATTGTTTAAACGCATTGTTAACAAAACACACTGGCTTTTCTATATATTATAAGTTGTTATATAAGGAACCACTTCTTTTCTATATGGTTTTTCGCTAGATTGCCTCATTAAAAAGATGCGCATACGCATGTCCGTGTGTTTCTGTCTGTGATTTATATTTGTAATATAAGGAAATACACCATTAACTAATGTTTGATATAATTATTGAGACACTATAGATTCTGAATGACCAACGTATTCATCCCATTGCGATGTTGAGAAAACAGTGTTCACTGATTTGGTAACCAAAACTAAAATGCCATTGATAAATCAAAAATGCATACTGAATGTTATTAGGAAAACTATAGTAATTATTAAATAGCTAAGAAAGGGTCACTGATACACCAAAAACGTAGTACCAATATTGTTAAAAGGAACAGTATAACCAGTGTTTTGGAGAAATAAAAGTATCACTGTTACACAAAAATTCGTTGAAAGAAATAATATTCCCTGACTTGGCAACTAAGAAGATATTGCTGGTACACTGTAAAGTTCCTACTGATGTTGTTGATTATTCTAGACCAGATAGTACCTCAGAGAAATTCATTCAAAAATCAGTCTTGCTAACCATAGTCTCACTTCTTTTCTATGTGGTTTTTCGATGGCTTGCCTCATAAAAAGATGTACCCACACGTGCATGTCTGTCTGACTGTCTGTGATTTCTATTTGTAATATAAGGAATAACTTCATTTCTATGTGTTGTTTCTCTAGTTTGCCTCATTATACACACACTCGGATAAGTAATAATACCCAGGTGCACACCCTTATGATCCACATAGTAAGGGTGCAGAATTTCAGGTGTCTGCATTCTTTCTCCTTGGAGCTAAGGTAGTCAAACTTTTCTTGTGTTTTTTCACTATATTGTCACATTAAAAAGATGCGCATCACGCAAGCATGTGAATAAGATAAGTAATACCCTAGTGCACACCCTCAGTATAGGTGCAAATTTTAAGGTGTCTAGGTTCTTTTCACTTGGAGCTATGGCAGACACACTTCTTTTCTATGTGTTTTTTTTTTCGCTAGTTTTTCTCGTTAAAAATACCCAGGTGCATAAGTTTGATAATAATAACACATAGATGCACACCCTCAAGGTCCACTTAGTGCGTGTGCAAAATTTCAGGTTTCTAGGTTCTTTCCTGTTGTGGTCACACACATACCCGCCCATTTATTGTTATAGACTAGCGGAAGTACCTGGCTAAGGTGGGGTTATTAGATTGATATATTCTAGATGAGCATGTTATAGATAATTATAGGTGATACTATACATCACGTTATCTAACCTATATAAAAGCCAGTGTGAGTCATGTCACGCTTGATTTTAAACTTAAATCGTTTCTGAAGTAAGGTATTTTACGTTTATATCACCAATGTTTTTAATGAAAAACAAACCTGTTTAATCTACAGAGACTCTAAATTAAGAAATCAACAAATGTTTTTCCAGTTTTATAGTTTATACATTTCCTCTCGAAGTTATGATGGTCGCACATACCCAGACATGCATAAAAAGATGTATACGCACATGCATGAAAATATATAAGAATACCCAGGTGCAAAATTTCACGTTTGTAGGTTCTTTCCTCTTGGGTCTATGGCAGTCACACATACACAGTCACATGTTTTGTGAACTTTTAATAGAAAACATATGGATAAACAGTAAGTTTATTCATTATTTATTATTTTAGTTTTAGCAAAAATGAATTACTAGATGAATGACATAAAGGTGAAAGAGTTAGTTTTAATGCTATAATAGTTCTTTAAGCAAAACAACAGAATTGTTAAAATCCTACAGACAGTCTTTAAAATAATGATTTTACTTGTAATATAATTAAATCTAGGAATATGTTTCGTGTATTTTTAGTGTTAACAAAGACAAGTGCGAAGTTTGTAACATAATACATAGGAAATTGTTTTTGAAAAAGAGGGATGCCAACATGATGATTGGTGTTCCCCAAGATATGTTAGATAATTAGTATGTTCTGTGTGTAATTGTTATGATACTGATTGTCTGTGTAATAAATCCTCATGGAAATGTTTATGCAAACAGAATATTTGTTCCATCTTTGATTGAAAAGTGTCATAAAATAAACCTATTGCTGCTGCTAGATAAATTGAAACTATCCTTTGTCAACGATATCAGCAAACAGTGTATGAAATCTTTGTCTAATATATAGTAACACTGTTTAAAACGTTTTCGAAACATGATATGTTTAAAATAATTATTAGGCGTTAGAGTATAATTAAATTTCACGTGAAAAGTTATTCTAAGCCAACATACCTATACTCCAAACTATAACGTGAATCATAGCCAATGCCATTTCAGTTGAACATCTACACCATTAGTGTTTTTGGACATATATCTACAGTAAAAGAAAGTTCAGTCCTCAAAATGTTATGAAAAAAAGTAAGTGTTACTATTCTATAGTACTGATAACATTTATTATGTAGCAAAATGTAAGTTATGATCTCATTCAAATAGTGGATAACAGCACATTTGTTAAAATTCTACAGACAGTTGTTAGATAATGTTAATTACATCTAGACATTAATCATATCTGGAAGTATAGTGTCCATCTTTGTTAAACTCGTGTAAGTTAAAACTATATAGTATCATGTGTAAAATGAAATATTTTGTCAAACATAAAGTCAAACTAGCGAAAAGTTTAATTAATGTATGATATCGTCATTTCTAGGATGATTTACATATAAGTAATCAGGAAATGTAATTAACTAATAAATTTTGGATTTAAACCGATTAAATATAGCCATGTTGAGACTCGTATCCTGTTCGTCATTGTATATGACGTCATGGTAGTCTTTGTTTTCGTATAACTAATGTCATAGCTGTCTGTCTGGTATCAAACTATAATTTCAACCCATGTGATTCTATGACGCCATAGCGGTCTAGCAACGCGTCCCTAACAACGCGCCATCTGGTAATAAATTATGTAACTATGACAACATCATCATCTCCTCCCTGACTCCAATTCGATGACGAGGAATCCACTTTGAGACTAATAATGCTTGGATATCTGATGATGACAAAACCTTGTTGAACCGTTGTACATTTGCTGGTATGTTAAACTAATATTAAAGGTTTTTTTCATTACCCATTCAAGCCGTCCCCAAGCATTATTAATCTCCTCCCCGAGTTCAGGACACGTGTGACGCTCTCTAGCGGCATGCCTGGCAAGTTACTATCGTGTGCCAAATCTCAGATCCGGAACCACATTTTTATGAACAGAAAAAGAAAATACGGGGTAGAAAACATTATTTAAAATTAAATTAACAAGTTAATAGCAGAAAAGGAATAGATAGGAAACATAAGATTAAGAAATAACATGGTGTTATAAAGGTAAAATCGCTAACCCTCCCTTCTCTCCCAAATTAAATATTGAATAGATAAATAATTAAACTTGAAAGCTTGAAGTAACATACCGTAGAGAATATGCTGTAAATGACTTTTTAATTTTCTATATCATCGTTAGAACAGATGAAATCATTAGATATCTAATCCATGAGCGATTTGTTCTACAAAAGCTAAGTAAAAAACGCCAATTAAAATCGGGTTCTTAATAAGCACTTTGTCTATTTTCTCTTTTCAAATAGTTTATTCCACTATTTGAGATTAGATATTAAATAATTTGTTACGAATATGTAATGAATCTATTTTGTATAAACTAAAAATTTAGCAATTCACATTTACTGTTATCTGACTGTATTAAATATGCCGACTTTTTTGTTTACATTCAGGGAATAGCGTCAGTAAAATTAAGATATTAAATGTTTATCCAGAAATACCTCAGTGAACATTTGTTATTTGAATTTTCGTTATCAGATAAACAAATAAGTAATAACTTCCTTACTTATTGGGTTTATCTCCTAGTTATTGAGTGGACGGCGTTATATTCACCATGATGAGAGACAATCAGTTGGAAGGGCTTCTTCTCTCTTTGGATATCATACACGAAGCTCACTAAATAGGTTAAGAGATGATCAATGTAAGCACCAGTGAACATCCTTGTAAGTCGGGAGAGTAGTCTGTTTTAATAATTAGGAAAGTTTCTGTTTAATTTTCTAGTGTTCAACTTTTAACTGACATGAACAGTACTTACTGTCTAATGTGTTAACTGATATTAACACTATTATTCTTCAATTTGCCTATTTTGTGATTTTATTGTTCAACATTTTTGAGACTTGACATTATTTTGTGATTACAAAGGTTTTTATCAAATATATACAATCATTATAAACCAGAAAGTGAACTCAGGTAATGTGATATCTCCCTGTATACACATTCTTTATATTCTACATACTGGTTTTGTTGATATTTTTAGACATGGCCTCCTAATCCTGAAATGGGTCGTTCAAGTTCTGTTTACAGTATTGCATCAACATCTATATATAAGAAAGGTTCCAGGAATCGAAATCCTCACTTCGTGGTTCTTCCGCCTCAGCTGGACTCCAACATGGGGTTATTAGTGCCACTAGATGAACGCTGTAAGAGAACCAAGTAAGTAATCGATATTCTAGTAGTAATTTACTGAATCAGGTGTTATATTAGACCTCACATAATTCTAACGTTAGATGTCTCCACTACCATCCACTTAAAATGTTATTATGCTGTGATACTTTCATTCGAGCTAATTGTTTTTCCACAGTGAAGTGTGATTGCTTTCCAAACCATATAAAATCTCAAGTTAAGAAACTGTCTTCACATTTTCATGACGTAACCTGTATGAAGCAGCCTTAACAGCAATCACCTAATTTTTTAAAGAAATTTCAACGATGTTTTCCGAATAGTTACAAATCTTTATAGTAATAATAACTAATGAAATTAGTTTGAAAACTAAGATTAATGAAAATCCGAGTAAATGTTTCTTCACATTTTCATGTTTAATTTTTTTCTCTTCTAAAATAAAATTCTATACTAGAAATGTAAAGCTGTATACGTTTAAGTTTAAATATGATTAAAAATTGTTGTGTGGAAAATTAGTGAAATTCGTTTGGATGAAAAGTTTACCATTCTTTTTTTTTTTGTGATTTTTATCATTTCTGAATTTCAGATTTGTTAATGCTATAGCTGTGGTTGGCTCTTTTATAACATCACATTAAAAACTTTTGACTTCTTTTGAAAACATGTGAGCCAGTTACAATACGTATTAGTGTAAGTTAATTTGTTTATCGTACAAAATCTATTTAAAATTGTTTATATAATTAAAACGAAATTT